CTGCTCCGCCGACCCAGACATTCACAAAGGGTGGGCTTTGGTAGTCCCCATTGGGCCAATCGCTGTTGGAATCCGGTTGGTCGTAGCCGTTGCCGTTGTGGGAGTATCCGTCATGATGGGTTCCAGACGGCTGCACGCCCACGGACATGCAGTTGTCCCCTGGGGAGGTGTTCCCTGCCCCATTGACTTGTGCGGATGGGTAGGAGCCCCCGCCCTCCCTGATCTGCAAGATGCCGTACTTGTTCTGGTAGCAGTTGCTCAAACCACCTGGAAGTAGTGGAAATCCCCTGCTAGAAGTTGAATGTTGAAGTGGAATTGTGGATTATGTTTCTCTCAAACTCGGGTAGCTCAAGATTAAAACTCCTCCTTTCCCGCGATTTCATTGCCATTTCAAAAAAAGAAGAGGCCAACTGGCCAACCCATGCCAACCCTATGTGTGGAAAATCCGTAAGAATCAATGTGTCAATGTGTAAATCCTTCCGCCATCCAAAAAAACCAAACAACAAGTAAGCCCCACCAAGAAAACACATGTCCCCCCCGAAGACTTGGTGCCCTAGTGAATCCCAAAATAGCTTGTAGATGTTCATCCCCTCAGTCATAGTGGGATTTCGTAGGTAACTTGACCCATCCCCATCTATATACACGGTTATTGCGAACCCCAGCGTTTTTTCGGCGAAAAATCGCCAATGCTTCACGGTTAGATCCTGTGAATCCCAGCTGCCATCTTGATTGTAGACTTTGACCGCATGATCTGTGGCTTGATTGATGGAACTCTGGCCATCACCACGATTCCACCATGTCTCCACCGTGCGGCTGGTGTCCATCTCCCACTTCACCCACTTGGAGATATCCTGCTGGAAGATCTTTGGGTCAAGTGTTGGGAATTAAGCACCGAAAATTAGAGATTTCAGCAAGAAAATAGCATCAAGAATTTGGATTTCACCCGCAGAAATGGGAAGGGGGGTCAAGTCATTGGGAATAAACCCACAAAGACATGTCAAATGTCATGAATTTTGCATTTACCATTCCAAAATTCATGGGCTCGATCATCTTGACCTATACTCCCTGAAAAACAGTGATGTCTTCTTGTGTCAAAACCTTGGGGTTTTAATGCAAAAAAGGTCAAACAAGACCCTTTTTGAATCGGAACACAAACAGCAAAATGTCGAGCTAAGCCTGGCCCAAGAAGTAGGTATGGGTTAAGAGTCAAATGATCAAATGATCCTGCGATGTTTTTTCACCTGGAAATTTACATGTTTTTATGGGTTGTTGGTTCTCCAACGACCTGACCAGCCAAATATCCTCGTTGCTGAGGCGAACTTGGGTAGCATGGTTCACCGCCAAATCCACGGCAGGGATGCTGGCCCAAGTGGCTGAAGTGATCTGCGGAGTCTCCAAGTTTTGCTCGTTCTTGAAGGCCCTCAACCATCCTAGCTGGGGGGTTGACCGCCCCAAAAAAATTGGCCATATATCACGTGTTGACTCATACCTATAGATGGGATCAACACCCCAGGTAGGATGCACGCAAAGAACTGGCTCAAAGCACCACCCAGCAACTGTCATACATGGCAGCTTTGCCAGCCACCTGCCCAATCAAGGTCCAGCCGCCATTTTTCATGTCGCAATAGAGCTTCTTCGTGGTGGGACCATCTGGGGTGGTGAGTGAGATGGGATAAGCCCCATCCTCTTTCACACCAGAGTCATAGAGGGCCTTGCACGAGGGTGCCTTAATCGTAGTAGTACTCGTAGTAGTAATCGTAGTAGTAATCGTAGTAGTAGTAATCGTAGTAGTAATCGTAGTAGTAGCCACCTTGCACTGCGGCCCTGTTGTGAGGCAGTTGGGCCCGCTGATACCACCTGGTTGGTTGAGACATCCTTAAAAATGTGAGTCAGTGGGGATCATCATTGGATTTTGGGGAAAATACAAAATGCTGCAACGTAGTCAGCCACATTGGAAGAAGGTATTCTGCCCGGAGCTGGTATAGCTGTTGGGGCAATCTTCCAAGGATAGTCCATCGCACTTCCACTTCTTGCCCATGGCTGTCACCTGATGGGTCAAGTCATTGGGGAGCAGGTGTAACCCAAAAAAGCTATGGTCAATTTTACGAGCTGCCTTAACCATCCATTTTGGGGCTTAAGACAGTTTAAAAGCCCAAATGTTGATGGCACTACCGTCGCATTGCATGGTGTTTTCTAACGTTTGCTCCTTTACCCGCCTCCTTGCCCTTGCAGGGCTTCAACGGCTCCTCCACATCACGTTGCACCTTCAGCGCCGTCGCTGGGCACAAGACGAAGAGACAGCCCAAGGCCTTCATTGCCTGAGGATTTGCTCGCAGGAATCCAGGAGGGTCGCAAAAATAGGTAAATTGGGGATCCAGCCCAAAAATTGAACGATGGGGGGATTTTGGGGCCTAGTTTTGAGACACACCTAGATATTCCCTGCCAGATTCCCGATGTCTGGTGGATGAACCCGTGAGAAAATAAAAAATCAACGTTCTGATGCGCAAATCCAGTTGCAAATATGACCCGACAACCCGAGGTAGTTTCCGGGAGCTCAGGTGGCTGCAGGCATGCAAATCAAAGCAATCCGTGAATACTTGTAATTTCATGCATGTAAAAATTTACGTACATGTGCCACCAAAAAACTGGAAGAACATGGATTCCATGTCCTTCAGACCGCTGAGAAATGGATGTTGTGCAACAAACATGGTCGCTGCAACCCTGACGCTGCTCCGCGTCTGACTTCAGGTGGCCATGAAGATAAAGTTGATGTTATTACCCCAGTCAACATATTGCTCATAGGGGGTGGCGAATTTTGATCCCTCATGAAGATAAAGTTGGTGTTTTTACCCCAGTTAACATATTGTTCACAGCGGGTGGCAAATGTTGATCCCTCATGAAGATAAAGTTGATGTTTTTACGCCAGCCGACATATTGTTCATAGGGGAGGGCGAATTTTGATCCCTCATGAAGATAAAGTTGATGTTATTACCCCAATCAACATATTCTTCATAGGGGGTGGCGAATTTTGATCCTTCATGGAGATAAAGTTTATATTATTACCCCAGTCAACATATTCTTCATAGGGGGTGGCGAATTTTGATACCTCATGAAGATAAAGCTAATGTTATTACCCCAGTCAACATATTGTTCTTAGGGGGTGGCGGATTTTGATCCCTCATGAAGATAAAGATGATGATTCTGATGATGGTGATGATGATGATGATGATCATGACGATTGTAAGTGTGCACCAACAGCAAGTCACCTGCAAGTCACTGGGGGTTTTGGATAATGAATCTCAACCGCTATCACTACTGGTGTTCATCACCATTTGTCAGAAGTGGTGACGTATGTCACAATTGAACATCACCTTCAACTATATACAAGGATTACTGTTCCCAAGCATTCGAAAGATACCTTTTTAATCCCTAAAATTCAACATTTGTTACCAACCCCTGTATATCATTATCCACGATGTTAAACATCATCATGTAAGGGTCATTTTTATGTGGAGAACCTATGCTTCATGACACGGGCATGATGGGCATCCAGTTTTTCAACCGCGCGCGCAGAGACCGTTCGGACGACATCAACCCACAGCGGGCGCCGCATCTGCTCCGCCGACCCAGACATTCACAAAGGGTGGGCTTCGGTAGTCCCCATTGGGCCAATCGCTGTTGGAATCCGGTTGGTCGTAGCCGTTGCCGTTCTGGGAGTATCCGTCATGGGTTCCAGACGGCTGCACGCCCACGGACATGCAGTTGTCCCCTGGGGAGGTGTTCCCTGCCCCATTGACCTGTGCGGATGGGTAGGAGCCCCCGTGCGCACTGATCTGCATGATGCCGTACTTGTTCTGGTAGCAGTTGCTGGAACCACCTGGAAGTAGTGGAAATCCCCTGCTAGAAGTTGAATGTTGAAGTGGAATTGTGGATTATGTTTCTCTCAAACTCGGGTGGCTCAAGATTCCATGCCAACCCTGTGTGGAAAATCCGTAAAAATCAATGTGTCAATCCTTCCGCCCTTCAAAAAAAACCAACAAATTACTCTAACTCGAGTGATCTTCACCATGGCATTTCAAGACATGTAGTTGGCTGGGCGCGCGCAGAAGGCCGCGTCACGAAACAGTGTTTTTGCTAGTTCACTGCACTGGCGCCACAGCGAGAGCGCATTTTTTCCTTTTTTACTGTGTTTCGCCTCAGTGAAACCTCGTTTTTTGTCTTTTTTTGTTGTTTTTTTTGGCGTGGTGTTGGTTGGGGGGGTGGGGGGTGGGGGGTGGGGGGGGGTGTAATAACGTTCTTTGGACTTGAGCACATCTGGGATGTTATGTCATGAGATCTTTTCTTGGAACTCAACACATCTGGGATGGTACGTCATGAGATCTTTTCTTGGAATTCAACACATCTGGGATGTTATGTCATGAGATCTTTTCTTGGAATTCAACACATCTGGGATGGTACGTCATGAGATCTTTTCTTGGAATTCAACACATCTGGGATGGTACGTCATGAGATCTTTTCTTGGATTTCAACACATCTGGGATGGTACGTCATGAGATCTTTTCTTGGAATTCAACACATCTGGGATGGTACGTCATGAGATCTTTTCTTGGAATTCAACACATCTTTTTCCTTGAATTTCCTGTTTTTTTGGAAACATAGAAAAGGAGATGATGCAACCTTGCATGAGCATGTGTCTTTAGAAGTGTTTCAATGAGCATGGAGAAACCATGCACTTTTGGAAAGAATCCAAGCGAGGTTCTCGAGCAACTGTCTCGACTTTTTGCAGATTAAAGGTGGATGAAAATAAAAGTCATGCACTGAAGTAAATACACCTGAAAGTGTCTCAACTGAAGTAGTTTTTTTCGACGTCAAAATATGACACGCCAAGATATGAACATGGACATGTGAAGCTGTACATGCATTTCGAATGGCCAGCGTGGAGGATTTGCCATATCACCATTCATACATTTGTGTCAAAACTGAGATGAAAGTGCACGAAACCATACGGCCATCTATGAGCGCCCGACCATGTAGTTGGAATTTTACCTAACATTCTATCTGACATCTATTTTGAGAATCTACTGAGAGATGCCCAAACTTATAACTTATGACATTCTATCTGGCATATGTATCTGGCATATCTTCTGACATTCTTTCTGGCATGCTATCTCATATATCTTCACAGCTTCTTTGTGGTCGAGGTCCGGCAAGGACCACTCTGATCTGGGGCTTGCTGTTCGGGTCCGGCAGGGACCACTGCGATCTCGCATTGCGGCGGGGACCACTACTATCTCGCGCTTGCAGTTGAGGACCACTGCGATCGCGAGCTTGCAGGTGAGGTCTGGCGGAGGGGAAGAAGGAAGAGGAGGCGGAGGAGGAGGAGAAGAAGGAGGCCGAGAAGGAGGAGGAGGAGGAGGCCAGCTGACATAAAATCTAACAACCCTCACCTGACATCTGAGCAACAAGTAAGCCCCACCAAGAAAACAAATGTCCCACCCAAAAAGGAAGACTTGGTGCCCTAGTGAATCCCAAAATAGCTGGTAGATGTTCATCCCCTCAGTCATAGCGGGATTTCAAAGGTAACTTGAACCATCCCCATTTATATACATATTGCGAACCCCAGCTTTTTTTTTGGCGAAAAATCGCCAATGCTTCATGGTTAGATCCTGTGAATCCCAGCTGCCATATTGATTGTAGACTTTGACCGCATGATCCGTGGCTTGATTGATGGAACTCTGGCCATCACCACGATTCCACCATGTCTCCACCGTTCGGCTGGTGTCCATCTCCCACTTCACCCACTTGGAGATATCCTGGTGGAAGATCTGTGGGTCAAGTGTTGGGAATTAAGCGAGGAAAATGGGAGATTTCAGCAAGAAAATGGCACCACGAATTTGGATCTCACCCGCAGAAATGGGAAAGGGGGGTCAAGCCATGGGAATAAACCCACAAAGACATGTCAAACGTCATGAAGTTGGGGGCTCGATCTTCTTGACCTATACTCCCTGAAAAAAAGTGACGTTTTCTTGTGTCAAAACCTTGGGGTTCTAAGGCAAAAAAGGTCAAACAAGACCCTTTTTGAATCGGAACACAAACAACAAAATGTCGAGCCAAGCCTGGCCCAAGAAGTGGGTATGGGTTAAGAAGAATCAAATGATCCTGCGATGTTTTTTTGTCACCTTGAAATTGACATATTTTTATGGGTTGTTGGTTCTCCAACGACCTGACCAGCCAAAAATCCTCGTTGCTGAGGCGAACTTGGGTAGCATGGTTCACCGCCAAATCCACGGCAGGGATGCTGGCCCAAGTGGCTGAAGTGATCTGCGGAGTCTCCAAGTTTTGCTCGTTCTTGAAGGCCCTCAACCATCCTAGCTGGGGGGTTGACCACCCCCCAAAAAAATGGGCCATGCATTACGTGTTGACTCATACCTATAGATGGGATCATCACCCCAGGTAGGATGCACGCAAAGAAATGGCTCAAAGCACCACCCAGCAACCGTCATACATGGCAGCTTTGCCAGCCACCTGCCCAATCAAGGTCCAGCCGCCATTTTTCATGTCGCAATAGAGCTTCTTCGTGGTGGGACCATCTGGGGTGGTGAGTGAGATGGGATAAGCTCCATCCTCTTTCACACCAGAGTCATAGAGGGCCTTGCACGAGGATGCGGCGGGCGCAACTGCTCCGCCGACCCAGACATTCACAAAGGGTGGGCTTTGGTAGTCCCCATTGGGCCAATCGCTGTTGGAATCCGGTTGGTCGTAGCCGTTGCCGTTCTGGGAGTATCCGTCATGGGTTCCAGACGGCTGCACGCCCACGGACATGCAGTTGTCCCCTGGGGAGGTGTTCCCTGCCCCATTGACCTGTGCGGATGGGTAGGAGCCCCCGTGCGCACTGATCTGCATGATGCCGTACTTGTTCTGGTAGCAGTTGCTGGAACCACCTGGAAGTAGTGGAAATCCCCTGCTAGAAGTTGAATGTTGAAGTGGAATTGTGGATTATGTTTCTCTCAAACTCGGGTAGCTCAAGCTTCCGTGCTTACACTCCTCATTTCCTGCGATTTCATTGCCATTTCAAAAAAGAAGAGGCCAAGCGGCCAACCCATGCCAACCCTACTTGAGAAGGGGTGACACGAAAGGTAGTTGTGTCAGACGTTATAACTCTGATTGTCGTTGTGATGTGACTCCAGCTTGGGTGGTTCATGAACCGTGGACGGGCATGAAACTGGACTTTCATAGCTGAACGGAGATATCTGGATCTGAAAAGAGGGCACCCCACGATTGCCATGGTTGATCACCACTTAGTCTATTTAAAGAGCCATTTGGAGGTATATTGTCTGACACACGCATCTTGCGGGGAAAAAAAACACGGTCAGTGTTAGCACAAACCCCAAAGTCGCTTTTGCGGTACCTATGGATGCTCGAACCTGTCCCTTTCATCGCACCGTTGGGTACGGGGCAAATGGATGTCGAAAAATCCGAATTGCAAGTCGAATGATGATGATGATGATGATGAGGATGATGACGATGATGCTGATGATGAGACACTGCGAAGGGGCTGCTGCGTGAAGAGACGCACAAGGCATGTGACGAGAGTTCACTTGGGGGGGGGCATGGAACTGGACATTCAGAGCAGAGCGGAGATATCCGGATCCGAAAAGAGAGCACCCCACGATGTCCATGGTTGCTCATCACTTAGTCCATTTAAATAGCCATTTGGAGGTATACATTGTCAGACACACGCATCGTGCGGGGAAAAAAACACGGTCAGTGTTAGCACAAACTCCAATGTCTCTTGTTGCGGTACCTATGGATGCTCGAACCTGTCACTTTCATCGCACCGTTGGGTACTTGGAAAAGGGATGTCGAAAAATCCGAATGTCAAGTGGATTGATGATGGTGATGAGGAGGATGATGATGATGATGATGGTGATGATGACAAGACACTGCGAAGGGGCTGCTGCGTGAAGAGACTCACCAGGCATATGGCGAGAGTTCCCTTTGAGGGGGGGGGGGGGGGGGTCCCTTTCTCCTGGTCGTTCAAGGATAAGGGGTCCAGCCCGCCCCTTTGCTTCGCAAAGTAAAACTCAAGGTAGCCCGCTAGGAGGCTACCTTTCGTGATGTGGAAAATCCGTAAAAATCACCTTCCGCCCTATAAAAACCAAACAACAAGTAAGCCCCACCAAGAAAACACATGTCCCACCCAAAAAGGAAGACTTGGTGCCCTAGTGAATCCCAAAATAGCTGGTAGATGTTCATCCCCTCAGTCATAGCGGGATTTCAAAGGTAACTTGAACCATCCCCATTTATATACATATTGCGAACCCCAGCTTTTTTTTCGGCGAAAAATCGCCAATGCTTCACGGTTATATAGATCCTGTGAATCCAAGCTGCCATCTTGATTGTAGACTTTGACCGCATGATCTGTGGCTTGATTGATGGAACTCTGGCCATCACCACGATTCCACCATGTCTCCACCGTGCGGCTGGTGTCCATCTCCCACTTCACCCACTTGGAGATATCCTGCTGGAAGATCTTTGGGTCAAGTGTTGGGAATTAAGCACCGAAAATTGGAGATTTCAGCAAGAAAATTGCATCAAGAATTTGGATTTCACCCGCAGAAATGGGAAGGGGGGTCAAGTCATTGGGAATAAACCCACGAAGACATGTCAAACGTCATGAAGTTGGGGGCTCGATCTTCTTGACCTATACTTCCTGAAAAACAGTGACTTTTTCTTGTGTCAAAACCTTGGGGTTTTAAGGCAAAAAAGGTCAAACAAGACCCTTTGTGAATCGGAACACAAACAGCAAAATGTCGAGCTAAACCACACCCAAGAAGTGGGTATGGGTTGAGAAGAATCAAATGATCCCGCGATGCTTTTTTTCCACGTTGAAATTTACATTTTTTTATGGGTTGTTGGTTCTCCAACGACCTGACCAGCCAAAAATCCTCGTTGCTGAGGCGAACTTGGGTAGCATGGTTCACCGCCAAATCCACGGCAGGGATGCTGGCCCAAGTGGCTGAAGTGATCTGCGGAGTCTCCAAGTTTTGCTCGTTCTTGAAGGCCCTCACCCATCCTAGCTGGGGGGTTGACCACCCCCCAAAAAATGGGCCATGTATTACGCGTTGAGTCATACCTACAGATGGGACCATCACGTAGGATGCACGCAAAGAAATGATTCAAAGATATTCAAGGCACCACCCAGCAACCGTCATACATGGCAGCTTTGCCAGCCACCTGCCCAATCAAGGTCCAGCCGCCATTTCTCATGTCGCAATAGAGCTTCTTTGTGGTGGGGCCATCTGGGGTGGTGAGTGAGATAGGATAAGCCCCATCCTCTCTCACACCAGAGTCATAGAGGGCCTTACATGAGGGTGCCTTAATCGTAGTAGTACTCGTAGTAGTACTCGTAGTAGTAGTAATCGTAGTAGTAATCGTAGTAGTAATCGTAGTAGTAATCGTAGTAGTAGCCACCTTGCACTGCGGCCCTGTTGTGAGGCATTGGAGCCCGCTGATACCACCTGGTTGGTTGAGACATCCTTAAAAATGTGAGTCAGTGGGGATCATCATTCGATTTTGGGGAAAATACAAAATGCTGCAACGTAGTCAGCCACATTGGAAGAAGGTATTCTGCCCGGAGCTGGTATAGCTGTTGGGGCAATCTTCCAAGGATAGTCCATCGCACTTCCACTTCTTGCCCATGGCTGTCACCTGATGGGTCAAGTCATTGGGGAGCAGATGTAACCCAAAAAAGCTATGGTCAATTTACGAGCTGCCTTAACCATCCATTTTGGGGCTTAAGACAGTTTAAAAGCCCAAATGTTGATGGCACTACCGTCGCATTGCATGGTGTTTTCTAACATTTGCTCCTTTACCCACCTCCTTGCCCTTGCAAGGCTTCAATGGCTCCTCCACATCACGTTGCACCTTCAGCGCCGTCGCTAGGGACAAGACGAAGAGGCAGCCCAAGGCCTTCATTGCCTGAGGATTTGCTCGCAGGAATCCAGGAGGGTCGCAAAAATAGGTAAATTGGGGATCCAGCCCAAAAATTGAACGATGGGATTTTGGGGCCTAGTTTTGAGACACACCTAGATAGTCCCTGCCAAATTCCCGATGTCTGGTAGATGAACCAGTCAGAAAATAACAGACCAACGTTCTGATGCGCAAATCCAGGTTGCAGATATGACCTGAGGACCCGAGGTAGTTTCCGGGAGCTCGGGTGGCTGCAGGCGTGCAAATCAAAGCAATCCGTGAATACCTGTAATTTCATGCATGTAAAAAATTACGTACATGTGCCACCAAAAAACTGGAAGAACATGGATTCCATGTCCTCCAGGCTGGCAAAACATTGGCAGTGTTGGATTGGGAAACTTGATCGGGTTCCGGAAGCTTGACTACAGCCCCAAACACCCAGCAAACTCCTGAGACTTTCAACTGGCATGCGCCAAACTTGGCCCAAACACGGAATCTGTAAAATCAATGTGCGTCTTTGCAGACAAGAGTGACCGCTGAGAAATGGATGTTGTGCAGCAAACATGTTTAAAGGGGTCGGGGGTCCGGTGTTTGGGAGTCTGGCACCAGAATTGTTCGGATGAAATCCGGGCAAAGGATTTATACAGCCTTCAACTGTAGGAGTGAATCCACCCTCCACCCACAACTTACGGAACCCGAAACGAGAGGCAAAGTTTCGGCAGACATTTACCTTTATCAAGATTGGGCTCGTATTGGTTTGTTTTGGCAAATCGTAAAAACATGTAAAAACCATCTTGTAGTAGTCATAACTACTTCCGCATAGTTTTGAGAAGATTCAAACATTGACTTCCGTCCATGCCTAGGAGACACATCTGTGATCCCAAGCCAAACCAGCCCGGCAAAAGAAATATAAGGCTACCCATCATTGACGTTTGCTTCCATCAAAATATATGCGCAGTAACGAGAATTGCCTTTGTCAAGAAGTACCATAATCTGAACATTCCAACAATGAACTCTCCCATCAATGCGTTTCAACTTTAGATCATAAAATATCATCATATTCACATGATATAAGGATACCCGGCGGGTACCTCATTTCATAGAGGAAATTGGTGGATTTCAGATGTTTTTTTTGGCCACGCGGACTTCGCCATTGATGGTTTGCGGAGTATGGTTTCTTGCCTACAGTTTGCCGGAGCTGCAAACATCAAACATCATCAAACTAGTCTGATCTGCAATTCCCTCAGGTTTTCACCATGTTCCAACCCCTTCACCTACTTTGAGCTGACGTCGACGTCACTTTCTTGGCCTTGCAGTGGTCCAGTCATGCCCAGGCGGCCCGACCCAATTGGTTTTCAATTTGGTTAGGTCTTTCCTCAGAAATGTACTTCAAAACGGAATTGGCGGGGGATAGCCAAATGGAACCACCAAATCCAACCACTGTCAATGTCTGCGAATCCCTTTTTTTCGTTGTTGCATCAATCCCTTTTAGATCCTGTGAACGTACTTCATGGTTTTACAACTCTTGCCGGAGGAGATACTAATGAGATTCACTCCATTTTCAAACCTCCCACAATTTTGTTGACTCCCAAAGACTTTTCCGGTGCTGAAATTCCAATGTTTTAAACATCACTAAGCCTCATTGAACACCTAAAAACATCAGAAAACATCTATAAATACCTATAAACATCTAAAACCATATGAAGGCCAAATGATTCCCCCCCAACCAGGAAAAACCGCTGGGTGAATCCTCTGGGCGATCCCACTTCTCTCGATCTCGATCGACTCCGGGAGTTTCTTTTCTGGAATCAGGGGACCACAGATGTTCGTGGATTTTTAGACTAACATGTGCACTACCCAAGTATTGGGCTAGCCAATTTTGACTCATCTACTTGTACATATCACCTTTCAATGAGGTATATAGTTGGGTATACAAGCCGAACTATAATGTGATATAATGTGATAGTCGGAGGACGTTTAAAGTCAAACTTCCGACGATATGGACAGATGGAAAAGCAGAGGTGGGAAGAGTCAGAGAAGAGAAGAGAAGAGAAGAGAAGAGTAGAGAAGAGAAGAGAAGAGAGGAGAGATCAGAAGAGAAAGAGTCAGAAGAAAGAGTCAAAGAAAGAAGATGCAGGTGCGCGAAAGGCAGAAAAGTCGCGAAGCACCGTGCTTTTTTCCAATGATTTGTGGCTCCGGCGGGTCGAAAAGTAGGCTCGCTAAAGTGGCGGGTGCGGAGCCAGCTGGCCAGATGGGAGATGAAAAATTGCACGCCGTTGTGGCGAGAAGCACATTTTCAAGTCAAAATGTACAAAACACATCAACGGCGGACCACTTCTGGAAGTTGATATGTCGAAAAAAGTGCATGCCCTTGTGGCGCGAAGCACGTTTAGAAGTCAAAATGTACAAAGCACACCAGGGTCGGAGCACTTTTTGGAAGTTGAGATGTCGAAAAAGTGCGCGCCGTTGTGGCGCGAAGCAAATTTCCAAGTCAACATGTGCGAAGCACACCATGCTCGGACCACTTTTGGAAGTTGACATGTCGAAAAAGTGCACGCCATTGTGGCACGAAACGCGTTTCGAAGTCAAAATGTACAAAGCACGTCAGCCTCGGAACATTTTTGGAAGTTGAGATGTTGAAAAAGTGTACGCCGTTGTGGCGCGAAGCACATTTCGAAGTCAAAATGTACAAAGCACCACATGTTGGCGCCACTTTTGGACGTTGAAGCGTTGTTTTGTGTGGCAGGCGCAAGGGATTCTCCACCCTGCCAAAAGTGAGCAAAACGTGAGGGTTTTGTAGCATGTCCAAACACGATGGCAGACGCGGGGCATTTAAAGAGGATCTGCAAAGATGGATTTCAGGTCAAGAGACATGTTCATCAGAGATGTTAGGAGGTTAGGCCGCTGATTTCCTGAGAGGGGTTGCATTTTGGAGCATCAGATCTTCAGGTTTGCGAAGATGATTTTGCGTGACAGGTGCAGCACTTTGTATGACTTGGCATCACTTTTTCGTGGCAGGCGCATTACTTTAGACAGATGGAGTGGAAACATTGCAAAAGCATTGGCACGAGGCCGTCAGCTCTGCATTCAACTTTCCATTTTTGAAGGAAGTCTCGCAGAATTGCTTCGTTTTTGATGTTGTCTTGTCAACTTGCCAAATTGAGGAAGTATCGCAGAGTTGCTTCGTTTTTGACGTTGTCAAGGTCAGAAATGGAGGAAGTCTCGCAGAACTGCCGCGCTTCTGATGTTGTCAAGTTCAAAAATGGAGGAAATGTCGCAGAATTGCTGCGTTTTTAAGCTTGACAGACAGACAGACAGACAGACAGACAACTACAACGGCAACTACAACTACACTACACTACCACTACAAATGCAAATGCAATTTTACTACGCTACAGTCCACTAATTACATTACACTAAACTAAGTACACTACACTGACTACACTAATTACAGTACACTACACTAATTATATAACACTACAGCTATAGCTACAACTACAACTACTATTACTACTACAGCTACAGCTACAGCTACAACTACAATTGCACTACGTTACATTACACTAATTTCACTACACTACGCTACGCTAGACTACAACTACAACTACAAGTGCCACTGCAACCGCAACTGCACTACATTACACAACACTACGCTACACTAATTACACTACAACTGCAACTACACTACACTAATTACACTACACCACAACTACAACTCCACTACACTACAGCTACAACTACAGCTGCACTACACCACACTACATCCAGCAGTTGCGGGTGAGGTGACCACTGCAACCATTGCAACCAGTTCAGTTCACACAACTCCAACCACCTTTCGGTCCATCAGTGGATTTGCTCTGCCATCCATGCATCACAACAACTCACCTCTCCTTTTTCGGTGTCCTATTTTTGAAACTTCCGCCACCGCCGCACGTGCGGTACTACTGTTGTAATGACATATAAAATTGGTGTGTCTGAACATGGGGTACCCCTCACCTCCGGGGGATCCTTGGAGATGTAGCGGACGACGATACACCATGATACAACTGATCCCGATTTCTCGCCCACGTGATGTGGCTGAATCATTCCCAATATTTCCCAATAACTATAAACTTCTATAAACTAGTTTGGACAGAATCCGTCTCCTCACAAATGAAAATCAGGATCTCTTCCTGTTGAATAGCCATGACACCTGGGAAGAAAGCGCGTTTCTTGGTGACGCAACCGGTCTGTTTGGTTCGAATAAGTCGCTAAGTCCTCCCCCCATGGCACGGCCTTGTCCTGGTTGGGGATGATGCGATCTCCCGAGACTTTCATTCGGCCCTGTGGCCACCGGGATCGGTCATGGCCACCTATGGGACATTATGGGACCATGGAGAAATCCGGCGATGAAGATCTTGATATTGCTATTAAGGGAATATAACATGGGGATTATCATGATTTTATTCCCTTAACCATTTGGGGATGTGTGTCCCCTTACATCATTCCACTGATTTTTCACCCGACCAGGGTGAAGTGACCCAGACTCTGATGGGACGCCAGGTGAGCCGTGCAATCTCCATAAACAAATGACGAGGAGAAGGATGACAATGATGACGATGAGAGAGGATGCGTGTCGCATATGCAAGTTTCCTAAAATGGTGATACCCCGGGTGGTACCCCCAAAATCATCAATTCTAATAGGATTTTCCATTATTTATATACCATCCAGCTATTGGGGTACCCCCATTTTAGGAAACCGCCTATAATTATTGCCGGAGCCGGGTCAGCAACTGAGCACTGGACGTTGGTCACCTGGCAGGCTGAGTATAAAAGCCAATGACTCGGGCGGCTCATGGTGGAACCACACATAAAAAACAGATATGCAGTCATCATTTAATCATACCAATGAGATCAATTTGGGTCAAAACCCGGGTACCAATTTGGGTACCCTAAAATAGTTGGCCAATGAATTAATGAATGTTTCTTCCCCCAAAACGGAGAATTTCATAGGTAACCCCATCCCCGCAGCGGCGCCTGCTCAATGACTTTGGCTTCCCGCTCTGCTGCCTCGCCGGGTCCCCAACCATAACCTATCCATCAGAAGGATCAACAGTAATCAACCATCAGAAGGGCTTCGAAATTAACATCATCCCCCAGTTTTGGATGGTAATATGTGATGATTTTTCTCCATCCCCATCTTCAAATGGCACTGACCTGGACCTGGATTACCCAACTAAAGTCCATGGCTTCCATCACAAAATTCTTTGTCTACTGAAAGGCAATTCCATTAAAAAAACCCAATCTTTGTTGGTTAAATCCCTACGGTAATCACCATAAAGTCCCATGAAACACCAATCGCTAGCTGGCCTAAGTCCACCAATTCTTGAAATCTTTGCTGATGAATATCCATGAAATCCATTGATCCCATCCCCCTAATATTAAACACCCACTTAGAGACCATGGTTTAGTAGGGAAATTCCACATAATTGGACTTATTTAGGGGTCAAAAGAATCACATTCAATTTCCATCAATATCAATCAATTCCACTGAATGAGGGTTTCCCAAGTCATGAGGCTACTGTACCCCTAAGTAATCAACTCTAATAGAGATTTTCCATGAAATCCCATCAAGTTGCAATAAATCTTGCCTGCTTGTAGCAAGCAACGACTTCTTCATCACCACCAACCCTCCTCAAAGAGCTAACGAAGGAAGGGGCACCCCGGGCACTCAGCCACGCTGGCTTCAAGGAACAGGAAATCAATGGAAATCAACGGAGCATCAATGTAAAACAAATTGGAAAATCAATGGAAATCAGGGAATGTCTTGCAGGAAATCGATGGAGCACAGCAAATCTTTTCTGAACCTTAATCTTATCCATCGTTTATATATTCAAATATGTGAGACTTGTCTCCTCAACTCCTTCTCGGCTCCCTCGAACTGTGTTCTGTCCTCAGCAGTCACAGCAGAATCCTTGTGGCGCGAAACCCCAGTCTACCTTTTTGAAGCTGTGGGATATGACCAAACATCACATCATGAGATCATGTATAAATCAAGCCGAATGCTCTCGCATGCTATCTTGTACGACTGAATGCTTTCCCAGGGGGGAAATGTCCCCACCCAAAATGCCTTTCTGACCACAAGAAAACCCATCAAACGGATGACATTGAGAAAATTTTCAAAGACCCAAAGTTCAGTGTCGAATCATTTCGACTCCATATATTACATATATCTCATCCTCAAAAATCCCGGGATTTTCATGGTTGCTTCCAACACACAAGCAGTTCATCCCCAAGCCCCCACACCATGCGGGCATTGGTCCGTCGGTTCGAGGAGATTAAGGACCCCAAGGCCTTGATTCAAAGCAGAAAAATCACCAGCCGGGGGTCGAGCCATGGCAGCCATTTGGGACAGGATGAACCACCGGTGCCACCGCGAAAAATGGGATATTTGGAACATGATTTTCCTGTTCTTTTGTTGGCAATTTTTTTTGGGTCATATGAAGCATGTCGGGAGTGTAAGAATAGTGGGATACAACGGCATATTCAGAATAATATAATGGGATATTTATAATCGGATATTTAACCCACGCTTTTGTGGCAATATTGGGATATTGAATTACTGATTACTGGTATAAATAACCAACAAAATTCTCGGGTATATCGTATACCACCAACCATTTCATGGGATACCATGGGAAGTAATGGGATGCATAATATAGATTTACATCATATATTTACAATATCAACAAGGGGATTTGTTTCCGTGACCTAAGAAAGTAGGTTTTATCATGTTTTATCCATTTCAATGAACGATATCAATTGGCATTACGCGAGGTTCAACGTGATTCAATCATTGGGGAGTTCCGATATAGGTCAAGTTATTGGGCTGCCTTTCTTGCTGATCATTTTCAGGATCAATCTGGATGAAAAATCATTCTGACTCGGGAGCCCGTTTGTCATTCCCTTTTTTAAACAACCATCTCAATATCTGGATCTACCCTCTGGTGAACTAACATAGCAATGGAAAATGGCCATTGAAATAGTGGATCCTCCCATTAAAAATGGTGATTTTCCATGGCAAAATGTTAGTTCACCAGAGGGTATCGTATAGAAATGGGATATGACATCACTTAACTGACATTAAAACCGATACTAAAGCCCTGGTGCCCTGTGGCCACCATTGTTGTTGGTGAAACTCCGGTTTTGATGGTGAGCCCCCAGTGGTTCAAACACAACCTTGATGGTTAAATCACTTTAGCATGTGTTAAAGTCCCTTCTTCTAGCTGGTCAGAGCCTCTCTTTTTTGAACACGTTCATGAGGTTCATGAACACTTCTCCCGTTTGGGGGAGCAAATCATGGGCGGATGGCCCTGGTGACACGCCAAGTTCCGAGCTGACAGCCCCACTCGGGATTTCCTGGTGGCTGGGGAACCCACTGTTTGAAACTGAACATATCTGAAAGTTGGTTGGGGATATCATCATCATCATCATCATCATCATCATCATCATCATCATCATCACTATCATCATCACCATCATCACCATCATCATCATCGTCATCGTCATCGTCATCATCATCACCATCATCATCACCATCATCATCACCACCATCATCATCATCATCATCACCATCATCATCATCACCATCATCATCATCATCATCACCACCATCATCATCATCATCATCACCACCACCCTCGTCGTCATCATCCTCGTCGTCATCATCCTCGTCGTCATCATCCTCGTCGTCATCATCCTCGACGTCATCATCCTCGTCGTCATCATCCTCGTCATCATCATCCTCGTCGTCACCATCTTCGTTGTCATCACCATCACCACCACCACCACCATCATCATCATCATCATCATCGTCATCGTCATCGTCATTATCATCACCATCACCATCATCATGATCATGATCATGATCATGATCATGATCATGATCATGCTCGTCGTCGTCGTCGTCCTCCTCCTCCTCCTCGTCATCACCATCACCATCACCTTCACCATCACCATCACCATCACCATCACCATCACCATCACCATCACCACCACCACCATCATCATCATCTTCTTCATCATCACCATCACCATCACCATCACCATCACCAATCATCATCATCATCATCATCATCATCATCACCAGCACCACCAGCACCACCAGCACCACCATCATCATCATCATCATCATCATCATCATCCATCATCATCATCATCATCATCAACATCATCGTCATCGTCATCGTCATCGTCATCGTCATCGTCGTCATCATCATCATCATCATCATCATGGTCATCATGGTCATCAGGGTCATCATCGCCACTGTGGTCGTTACCGTTATCGCCTGAATCATTGTCATCAATATAGAGTCGAAGCCGCCAGATCTTGTGGTCACTCAACAAGCTTTGAGATGCAACTGCGGAAAGGTGAGGTACTAACTTTTTATGGCTGACACCACCCGCCTAAGCCACAACTCCACAACTGCTGTTGTTTATGTTGCCGTCCTCTCACCATGCGTTGCCACGTTTCGAGCACTGGACTCCGGCATTAGACCTCACCAACTGCAGACAAACCCGGCGGATCTTTCACTGTCCCACAATCTTATCAAAATTGCGTTTTCGTCATAGCGAAGTGGCAATTTTTTGGTGCCAAAATGCATCATGTATTTTTATGATCTTTTGTGGGTTCGACAACCCTTACAGCGTTTCTGTGTCAACGGGGCGAACGGAGAAAGCCCATTTTTTGCTCGCTCGTCTCAGCTCATCCCTGACGTATCGTCTAAGATAACTTCATGTGATTTGAAAGTCGATGATCTCTGAAGATGAACATGAAAGTTCCCACCCCACCCCACCCCACCACGCTCCAAACCCTACTTTTGTGGGACGGTTAAAGATCCGTCTGCACCTCACCAACTGCAAGGCATGTCAACCAGATAGCCCAGCTAAAAAGCACTTGCTTTATATACAGAGTGTTTCAGTGTTTCAATCTTCGAATTTATCTGCAAACAAAAAACATCAAAAACAGGCACAAACTTCGCAACACGACCTGAGGTGCACACCTAAAAACCATGGAGCTCCAGAAGCTCAGCAGGGTCCGAGTTTGTGTGTTGCAAGTTGGTGAAAATTGGCATCCAACACCATCCAACCGTTTTTCTTTGAAAGCAGGTATGCATGGGGGGTGGAGTTGTGAAAGGTCTGGTTTTACAAGGTTTTGCATCATTATGCACGAGTTGCTGTGGTTCTAAGGTGGTCATGCTACATTTCAAACAAAACATTTCAAAACATAATGTAATCTTAAATCTTACAAGAAATGTGTTTTCATCAATGATTTTGACACTGTGCTTGGAAAGTGAACAACACACGGCTGACCAGAATACTACATTTTCTGCTGTCTCTTTCCAAGAATGCTTTTTTTTGTATAGCATTTTGGAGAAAACATTGTTTTTTGCAATGATTTTGATGCCTGCACTGAATTCTGCATTATATCGTTGTACATATTACCATATATATATATACAGACACTATTTGACAAATTTATTGCAACTTTTCACAATAGTTTATGTTTCTCGAAAAATATGTATTTGGTATTGAACAGACATGAGTGCAATTTCCGGCTGCAAAGTCTGCATTTTCTGAAACGTGTTCTGCATCCTTTCATGCTGTTCATGAGTGCTTTTCAAAAAAGAACATGTCCAGATTGAACATGCACTTCTTCAAAAGATAGTTTAACTACGATTAAATCTAGACCTTTTCCAGGCATCATCTATATTTTGCCTTAAAAGCGCTGCCTTGTTGAAAAAAAGTAACACACTTGCAGGGAAACAATACATTTTGTGCATGAAAGCACAACTGAAACTTGAGAAATGCACTTCCTGAAACGACTGCTGTATCTTGAACAAGTTTTTTTTTGAGAAGATAATGCATCTTGAAAACAACCCTGCTTTCTGCAGTGAATTGTGTACGGTACCTTTGTGAAAATGTAAAATACAAGCGCATGTTTGACAGATTTATTGCATGCTCTGCACACTTGCTGCCCCTTTCCAAGGAGATAATGGGCTGTAGGCTGTATTGAACGAAAACTGGTTGTATTCTCCAGCTATAGGCTGTACACTTCCTGCTAGGGGTATTGTATCCTTGAATGGCATGTTGCTCATTTTTATAGGAGTGATGTTTGACTAGTGGGAGGAGGAAGGATTCGCGTTGAAAATATTGTATAATTGAACCTTTAAAATGAACATGTCTGTTCAAAGGAATACTATCATTTTTTCAAGAAATGCTGTATCTGTGGCATGCAAGAGTTGCCAAGAAGAATAATGTGGCATTCTACAACATAGTATCTGCTTCTTCCAAAGGAAAACAACATTCTTCTTTAGAGGATTCTTGTCGTGAGGGATACAATATTGCATTTTTGAAGGAGGAAACACTTTGAGACACACAATTTTTTTGTACAACAAAGTATTGCTTAAACAATCCATTTTTGAAAAATAAATGTTTTATGTTTGATATCACTTTTAGTGATTCCAGGTTTGAAGAACACGAGCCAAACCTTTAAAGATGAGGAACCAAAACCTCGGCATACCAATAAAACATAAGTCCAATGGAGTGCTTGAAGAGGTGGGCGATAGAGATAGAGCTGTTTTTACTGTACATTTTCTCTGATGGCTCAGTAGCCAAAATCAGTAACCCAATGAAGACATCAATATAAAATGTGGAGGGGTGAAAGCTGTGCCAATGGATGTTTGTCATGGTGAACATTTCTCCCAGGAGCCCAAGAAACAGGAAAACACAACCCCAAAAAATGAGCAACTGACATTGTTGGACTGACAAAGTGGCAAAAACCTCGAGAAAACCCCCCAAAAAAGTTTCCACCCATTTAGAGAGGGTCTGAGAAGCTGGACAGGGGGCATGGGGTGAAACTTTTTGTTTTTTTGTTGTTTTTGTTTTTCAATAGGTTTTGGCACTTTGGTTGAAAGTAGCATTTTAGGAGCCTGTGAAGTGAAAGTAGATGAGCAAATGGAGACATTCTGATCAGAAAGAGCAAAAAAACACACATTTCTACAATATGCACGTCTCCACCCCCATGCGTACCTCTTCTGTTTTCTTTCCAGCAAGGTAAGCAGTGGTGATTAGTGATTTCTGATATTTCTGGCAACTGCGATGTGTCTCAGCGGATTTTGCAGCCTCAAGATGGCTGCACAACCCACATTCGAAGAAAAGCAAGGCTTGAAATATTGGAGACGATCTTCAAGAACCGTAGGCTTTGAGGTGGGATGTTTCATGCTTGAGGCAAATCAACAAATTACAGCACTTCAATCATACCCAGAGTCTCACGAAGCAATGATGGGTGACACTTTCTAGGCATTGCAATGCATTGCATGTTCCCCCAGGGCTTGAGGGGTTCGCAGTCTTTTGTGGAGAAGCGCGCTTGCACCTGTGAAACCTAGACCGACTCTGTCAACCTTTGGCTGAATCGAGGCGATATCTCTTGAGATGTCGTGCTGTGCTTAGGGCTGCGCGCCCATCAGCCCATCAGTTGACTGCAGTGGAAGCTCTTGCAGATGGAATCCATCTGTCAAAACAAATGCGACCGCTGCCTCCAGTACGATTGGCAAGCATCAGGTGGTTCAAAAGTACTTGCTTCCGACTGGAATCAGTTGCGGCTTGAACGCATTCAGTCGCAGATCCGCTCGCAACATCATTGAAGTGCCGAGTGGGATCTCATCCAGACTTGGAAAGTTCACCAGCAAAATCACCAACCACCTCAATGTGTGGATGGTGTCTTAAAACTAAAAACTATTATCACTTGTGGTTCTAAGATGTTCTAAGCATATCTCAGTTTCCTTCGCAATTCCCAAAGCAACATTTCTTGCAATAGTACCTGCCTTATCGGCACCATGGCGACTTTGCCGCGCACGGCACATTTGGGGGAAAAAAGAACAGCATGTGATCGACACCAGGGACGCTCCTTGGTGTTCCTTGAGATGGCAGTTTTTCACCATGCGACTGCAGGAATTTATTTTTGTCATTGGTGTCATAAATTATGTGCAAGGGCATCCCTTCAAAAATCGATCTCTATGCTCTCACCAATCTCATTCAGCGTTGCCTCGCGCATGGCAATGTGGATCCACGAAGCACCGGAGACACCAGGCTTTGAGTCTTTGAGTTTGAAGTGCTCCAGTTTTTAACCAGAAATGACTAGAACAAAAACAAATAACAACTACAATAAATGGAGAAGGCGGAGTATTTCCTCAGTATTTCTATAGTATTTACTCCGTATTTCTATGGGTCAAAGACCTGGTATGGGCAGCATGCCGTTCCCAAATCATCCATGGTCTGCTCACTTTCCAGCGCCTGTAGTTGGTTCACCCTCTTAAGGATCTCCATGTTCTCCGACCGCAGAAGTGCCATGTCGATATTCCTGGCCGGAGCTACCTGGCCCTCCATGAATATGGAATTCCACCAAGTTTGGGCATTTCATGATCACCTGAGTGACGCAGGTTTTATCATTTCTTTCCACCTCTGCCAAAGATGAATAAGAACAGTTTCAGCAAGTTTCATGGTATTTCATGCTATTTAGTACAATAATTATGCTTTTTTATATAGTGGGCCAGTAATTCATCGTCCAATTTGGGAGGTGCAGCCACAGCCACCGTCCTGGCTGGACCCTTTAGCCGCGAGACGCCGTTCACCAGTTCTGCGGCGGAAAGGGGGGCCACCAGACACTGGGCCATATATGTATTTATATAAATGTAATTAAATGTATATAATGTATGTACTAATGTATACACATGTACTGCATACAATATATGTATTTGATACATGTATACTGTATTATGTTTGTGTGTGTGTATATATATATAGTGCCTACTTTGTTGGATGTGTAGCCCCAAGTTTGAGTGTAGAGACTTAAAATTCTACAGTGTTGCACAAATCATCACATCCACCCCTCCATTAGATGCCTTTGGCTGAC